CCCTGTGAGAGATATGATATCCTAGATATGAAAGATGATGTTGTCTCTGAACTTTCTCAGGGGCCACGATCAGGTTGTACAGCCATAAAGACTGCTGCATATTCTGAAAAATAGGATTAACCTGTTTCTCATCTGATGCTCCAGGCAGAATAGATTTTATAGGCAGAGGGGGACTTTCTACATATGGGCTCTATGGCCTTGTCCACATGGAGTTGGCATAGTGTGGGGCTATTGGCCATTTCCTGGACAGCACTATCCAATTGCATTTGTCCTAGGGCTGAATCATATTAATGCTGGGAGCAGAGAAAGCACATTTTTCCCCATCTGCCAGATACAGGGGTATGGGGGGGGGGGGGGGAGGAAGAAGCAATCCTTTACCCAGACACTGATGGCTCTCACCTGTCATCCTAGCTATTCAGGAGGCTGAGATCTGAGGATCACGGTACAAAATCAGCCTGGTGGGGAAAGTCCTTAGACTCTTATCTCCAATCAACCACTCAGAAAACTGGAAATGGTACTGTGGCTCAAACAGTAGATTGCTCACCTTGAGCTAAAGAGCTGAGGGACAGCACCCAAGCCCAGAGTTCAAACCCCAAGACAAAGAAAAGCAAGCCTTTAAATCCAGTACCAATAGGGACAAAAATAAGGGAATAGCTGTTGGTGAGGGCAAGCTATGTTGCAAGACACCCATAGGGAACATAGCTTTCTTAACCTCCCGTAGGTCCTGGAGAAGTCTCCATTTCCCTGATTTCTTTTTAACAACAAAGAAAAGGATATTCTAGGAACTACCAGAAGGCTTAATATGGCTGGTGACAATTGCTCATGAGCCAGAGCCTTGGTAACATCAAGTTTTTCTAAGGCAAAGGCCACTGATCTACCCATATGGGTGTTGAGGTCTTCCAGTGATAGGTTCTGCATGTAAAGCTGCCAATAATCAGCGGCCCAGAGGAAAACCCAAGCCCTGTCTGTGTGGGTTAGCACCAGGCTGGTAAGGTTCCAACCTCCCTTTCCCTTGTGGTCCCAGACCTGACATCCCCTCATACCCTTGATGAAGCGTTTGTTGAGTAACAACTCAGCACCCAGCTGAGACAACTCGTCACAGCCCCACAGATTTACTGGCAAAACAAAAGGTTGGAAGATTCCCGAATGACCTTCCTTGGTCAGCCATCCCAGTATGGCAGAACTCTTTTTTGTTTTGGTCAGTTGTGGGGCTTGAACTCTGGGCCTGGGTACTGTCCCTCAGCTCTTCTTCTCAAGGCCAACGCCCTACCACTTGAGCCACAGTGCCACTTCCAGTTTTCTGAGTGGTTCATGGGAGATCAGAGTCTCGTGGACTTTGCTGCCCAGGCTGGCTTTGAACCTCGATCCTCAGATCTCAGCCTCCTGAGTAGCTAGGATGACAGGCATGAGCCACTGGCACCCAGCTTGGCAGAACTTTTGTAACTCTGGATATGCCTACACCCTGCAGCAGGGTGAGGCTATCTTTTTTTGGTCAGGAGGGAGGCCAGTGTAGGCTAGATATCACCGAGACATAAGCTCAGGTCTGTAAAAACCTTCCCTCTTATGGACAGTTCTAACTCAGGTTGCTCTTGCCCAATTCCCTGAAGCAAAAAGATGTTAGCAGTGGAGGCAAAGCCTCGATTTACAGGATTAGGTGGAAGAGACTTACTAGAAAGAGGAACTAAAGGAAGCAGAGTCAATTGAGCAGTGGGAAAAGGATGGGCAGGCACCAGCCAGGTTCCTGTTTTCAACCCAGCCATAATTTGAATCTCTCCAGTATAATCATGATTAATGACACCTGGGCAAACAATCAGTCCTTTTATAGTCCAGCTGGACCTGCTCAACACCAACCCTGCTGTCCCAGGTGGCAGGGGACCCAGACCCACCTAGGAGTGGCGACTGGAGGTAGGTCTCCCTCCAATATAGCCTCTCTGACATTTGCCTCCATCTTTTAAGACAAAGTTGGAAGTCCCCAGTATCCTCATTCCACTCCTTAGCAGTCAGAATAGCCTTTTGGACTGCACACATAGGTGGAGGAGTCTGAATTAAGAGCAGGTGGTCATTCCTCCCCCTTCCCCGCTTTTGTTTTTTGGTGGGTCATTGAATTCTAGGCCTGGGCGCTGTCCCTCAGCTCTTCAGCTCAAGGTTGTCACTCTACCACTTGAGACACAGCACCACTTCCAGTTTTCTAGTGGTTTATTGGAGATAAGAGTCTCATAGAGTTTCCGGCCCGAGCAGGCCTTGAACTATGATCCTCAGATCTCAACCTCTTGAGTAGCTAGGTTGACAGGAGTGAGCAGGGAGCTCTTACAGAGCTGGGCATGGGGGCTGGCCATGGCCTTGGAGGGTCTTTGTCTTCTTTACAAGAGTGTGGAAAACCTGACACACTTTTTTTTTCTTCTCTTTGTCCCTGAACTCTGGGTCTGGGCACTGTCCCTCAGCTCTTCAGCTAAAGGCTAGCACTCTACCGCACTTCTGGCTTTTTCTGCTTACATGGTGCTGAGGAATCGAACCCAGAGCCTCAGGCATGCAAGGCAAGCGCTCTACCATGGAGCCACCTTCCCAGCCCCATGACACAGACTTTCAAGGCTTCTAACACTCCTGCACTGGGACTGACAGCCCTCTCCCTCCACATCTGATGTACAAAGGAGGGTCACTTTATTTTCTCCTCACACAAGGATTTTATAGAAACAATTTCAATTCTGGTGATTGGGGTCAAGACTCTCTTGTTCCAAACAGAAAATGTCTGAGGGGGGAATAGCATCTTTTCCTCTGTTTTCTTAATTCTTGAACCACCTTCTGCCATGTAGTCAAATCCACCTTTCCCTCTTTGGGGAACCAGAGACAGAGATTCTCTACAACCTCAAAAATGCCTCTAGCCTCTCTGAACTAATCTCGCAGCCCTCTTGCCTCACGAGGGCCAAGAGAGCTTCAGAAACAGTCACCTTTCTAGGCTGGGAAGTTGGCTCAGTAGTAGAGTGGTAGAGTGCTTGCCTCGCATGCAGGAGCCCCGTGGTTTGATTCCTTGACACCACATAAGCAGAAAAAGCCAGAAGTGGTGCTGTGGCTCAAGAGGTAGAGCCCCAGCCTTGACCTGAAGAGCTGAGGGACAACGCCCAGGCCCTGAGTTCAAGTCCCACAACCATAAAGAAAGAAAGAAACAGTTGCCTTTCTTTGCTCTGATTCATCCCCATTTTATGTCTCTTTCCTCTTCCACTACTGTGCTTTGCGGTCCCCTTACCAAACTATTGCTGTGCTCGCGAAGTCCTCCAGATTTCCTCAGGTCCCGTTCACGCACCAGTTGGCCCAGTCAAGCCAGGGCACAAACAGGGGCACCTGGGGGGCAAAGAGATGGGTGAAGGAGGTGGAGAGAAGGTTGAAGACACAGCTCTGTTTATTCCAGCAAAAGCCTCAGCTATCTACACTTTCTACATTTGTCAGAGGCTTTCATCACATGAATCCAGGATTTACCTTGCCAACAAGTGCATGCAGTATGCATCCTTCCTCATTCTATTTTAAACAGTCTTTTTGGGGGGACTGGGGGTAATTTGGGGGGGTGGGAGGGAAGGGATAGTGAGGGGAAAACAAAGGAGGCAACAATGCTCGATAGGAACTGTACTCATTACCTTGCTCATGTAACTGTGAGCCTTCTGTTCAGTATTTTTGCAATAAAAAACATACACACACATATACAAGAAAACAATCTTTGTTTCCCATCCTCCCTCAGACAAGCTGTCAGACCCAAAGCCGAGGAAACCACTTCCTCAAATACAAGCATAAGTGCATTCAACACAGAGCATTGGAGTCAGTGGCTGGGAATCTTGGCTCCCACATTGCCAGCTGCTGCCACCTCATGGTCTGCAACACTTGTCAAATGGTTACTCACTTCTGTACAATATACAAATAATAATGCACAAATATACTAATAATAAACACAAATATACATAGCCTTTTTCTTTGTTTTGCCAGTCCTGGGGCTTGAACTCAGGGTCTGGGCACTGTCCTTAAGCCTCTTTGGCTCAAAGCTAGCACTCTACCACTTGAGCCACAAGGCCACTTCTGGCTTTTTCTGTGTATGTGGTACAGAGGAATCGAACCCAGGGCTTCATGCATGCTAGACAAGCACTCTACCATTGAACCACATTCCCAGACCACAAAGGTATTTATATACAAATTATATTACAAGATAGAGAAGCTTTATAATTTGCTATTTCATCCTTGTTGGGAATCATCAGTACAGTGTAGCTGCTGGTGGCTCATGCCTGTAATCCTAGCTACTGAGGTGGCTGAGATCTGAAGATCATGATTCAAAGCCATCCCCACATATTTTGTTTTCAACTAGCCCAGCACTGTAGGGACGCTCTTGGAAACTCAGGAGGCTGAGATCAGAGAATGGAAGTTCAAAGCCAGCCTGGGCAGACAAATTGGAGACTCTGATGTCCAATCAGCCAGCAAAAATCTGGAAGTAGAGCTGTGGCTCCAAGTGGCAGAGAGGTAGCCCTGAGTGAAAAAGCCCAGAGACAGTGCCCAGAGTTCAAGCCCTAGGACCAGCAACTCACCCAAAAAAGGAAAACCAAAAACAATGCAGCAACTGTATATAGCAAATTATAAAGCTTCTCCCTGACCTGTTGTTTCTTGCCCTATAAGGTGGTAAATAAAGACCAATACACCTCTATTTTCTTCTTCCTTTATGGCTAAGGAGCTATGAAGCTACGTTCTTCTTCAGGTTGTGGACCTGAGCTCAGCCAATGGGAGCAGAGGGCCCCCAGCTTAGCCAATGGGAGCCCAGGGGCAGGGCCTGCCACATGAGGTATGAAAGGGGAGCTGACTGCTGCCTCTGGACCAGGGGCTTTCTGCAGAAGGCAGCTTTCCCTTTCCTGTCAGGGTGCTTGTGTCTCCAGATAGGGCAGTATTCTATTAAAATATATGCATCTATCTATCTATCTATCTATCTATCTATCTATCTATCTATCTATATCTACACAGGATATTTGGATATTCTAATAAAATATAAGCATATATATCTGCCCAGTCAGGATGAGAGGCGTGAGCCCCAGCCAGGAGACCCCATGCAGAAAGGACCCCGAGGTCGCTGCACACTGCACGTAGCTGCTCGGCTTGCTGCAGATCCACTTCCGCTCCGTGTAGAACCGCCCACTGCTGATGCCCACTCCATTCAGATAGGCGCACTCCCCAGTTCCCCTGACCTCAGCCCTAGAAACAAGCAGAGAAATAGCACATATTCATATTGGAGTACATACTTGCTTTTTCCTTTTTGTAAGTCCTGAGCTCCTTTTGCTCAAGGCTGGCGCCCTACCACTTGAACCACAGCACCACTTCTATTTTTCTGGTGGTTCGTTGGAGATAGAGTCTCACAGACTTTCCTGTCCAGGCTGGCCTCAAAACTCAAACCTCAGATCTCAGCCTCCTGAGTGGTTACCATTCCAGGCGTGAGACATCAGCACCATTTTACTTTTTTTGCCATCATTATTGTTATTTGTTTTTCTTTGTAAGTCGTGGGACTTGAACTCTGGGCCTGGGCATTGCTCTGAGCTCTTCAGCTCAAGGCTAATGCTCTACCGCTTGAGGCACAGCACCACTTCCAGTGGTTCATTGGAGATAGAGTCACAGACTTTCCTGCCAGGGCTGGCTTTGAACTGCGTTCCTCAGATTTCAGCCTCCTGAGTAGCTGGGATGATGGGCATGAGCAACCGGTGCCCAGCTTTGCCATTATTTTTTGCACCTCCTTTCTGGTTTTTGGTCTTAGTTTTTGTGTTTGTGCATGCGCTGGTCCAGGGATTTGAACTCAGGGACCTCCACCCTGTTCCTGAGCTTTTGCGCTCTAGCATTTGAGCCACAGCTCCACTTCCAGCATTTTGGTGGTAAATGGGAGATGAGGGTCTCACAGACTTGGGCTGGGAGTGTGGCTCAGTGGTAGAGTGCTTGCTCAGCATGCATGAAGTCCTGGGTTCGATTCCTCAGAACCACATACACAGAAAAATCCAGAAGTAGCTCTGTGGCTCAAGTGATAGAGCACTAGCCTTGAGCCAAAGAAGCTCAGGGACAGCACCCATGACCTGAGTTCAAGCCCCAGGACTGGCACAAAACAAAGAAACAAACAATAAGACGGCTGATATGTACAGGTTGCTGAACTCGGTGTTGTCTGCCCACTTCCATCTATGCTGTGGAGATTCTCTTCTAAGGCCAATCCAATGCTCATACGAATCTCTGTGTCTTTCCAAGACATTCTGTAATCAAACACAATAAGTTGAAAATATGAGTCCTTATCTTCCAGATGTTTTCTTTCTTTTTCCTTTTCTTTTCCCCCAGGCCAGGGGCTGGTTATGAACTGTGATCTCACTTCTTACCTCCTGAGTAGCTATTTATTAGGTAATTACTTCTTTGTATTTTTCTTTTCATGTGTATGTATATGCCCGTTCTGGGGCTTGAACTCAGGGCCTGGGCACTGTCCCTGAGCTGCTTTTGCTCAGGACTAGCACTCTACCACTAAGCCACATTCCCAGCACTGTCCTTGAGCTCTCTTGTTCAAGGCTTTAACACTTGAGCCACAGCTCTCCTTCCAGCTCTTTTTGGCTGGTTAATTAGAGACGAGTCTCACCAAGGTTCTTCCACAGGTTGGCTTGAAAATCATGATCCTCGGTTCTTAGCCTCCCGAGGAGCTGGGATTATAGGTGTGAGCCACTGGCACCCACCCTTCATTCTGTTTTAGCTTTCACCTTACACAACCATCCAATTTCAGGGTGTCTTTTAGCATGTCACAGAAAAGAGGAGCCCCAAAAGCATTTCTTACCAACTCCTCCTTGCTGTCAAACTTGACCAGATTGGCACCAAAGGATGCACAGAAGTCCTGACTGGAGGTCCAGTTCCTTACATCATCAGAAAAATAATAACACTTGTTCCCAAATCCAATCCAGTCTCTTAGGCAAGAGGAAAACAGCCTTGTCTCCGGAATGCGGCTTTCTGTTTTGTTCACTAAAACACAGACAATGGATTAGCTGCTCATCAACCATTCCTTTCCCCTGCCCAGACCCCAGGCCTACCGCACATCCTGCATTGAAAGCGACTCACCTGCCGTAAGCACAGCAACAAATCCAAGTACAGTTGCAAGCAGAACAACATTAATGAGCACAGAGCAGTAAAATTTTCTGGGTGTGATGGGTGACAAAATTCCTAGGCATTTTCGTGGGAGATCTTTCACTGGAAACATAGAAATAGGAGGTTTGCAGCTAATGAAAGACATAGAAGGGAGACCCTCCCCACTTCATGAAGCCGTGGATTTGATTCCTCAGTACCACAGACACAGCAAAGGCCAGAAGTGGCACTGTGGCTCAAGTGGTAGAGCACCAGCCTTGAGAGACAAAGCTAAGAGACAGCGTCCAGCCCCTGAGTTCAAGCCCCAGTGTGATCATATAATATATGATAGTTGCTATAAATTTGTCATAATACAGACGTACGATCTAGTTTATGATCTCAATATATACTGTGTATAACATGATATAACCGTGTATACTGTATTACACTAGATAATATTATACTATATATACTCTTATACTACATACTATGGTCATTATGTTAAATATTATAATTTTACCTACATACTGTGTTTATCTTATAAACATTACAATATAAGATTTTATGTAAAAAAAAAAAGATTTTATGTAAAGTATAATATAGTCAGATAATCTACATATTATTTTGTATAAGATATAATATAAAAGAGTACTATCTACTACATATCATATATTATACTATATGATATGAAGTATATTTAACATGAAATATAAAGATGTGTAATAAGATACAAATAACTTATAAAATTAAAAACAATATAAAATATAACAGTATGATATATATTTTACAATATAAAATATAAATTCTATGTATGATATATAGCATATCATGTATACTATATGATGCTATATTATATATCATAATATAGAGTATATATACTGTATATCGTAATATATATGCTATATGCTATAGCATGTATGTAATGTATATTATGTTGTTAGATATCCTATATATTATATTATTTTGTATCATATACTACATAAAACATGTTTCATATATTACATCATTATGTATACATGTTATACTATATATATATATGTAAACACAGTGAGCAATCTTTATGTAAGTATTTTATTGTCACATTAAAGCAAACACAGAGACTCCAGCTGGAATGGAACTTGCACGCCTTCTTTCTGGAAACACCAATGGCCCAACCATTTAAGGACATTACTCAGCAGGTATGCCTGTTTACCCTCTTCACCAGTTACCTTCCACCTTTACCCAAAAGTCATGGGCACCTCTGCCTGCACACAGAAGCTTCCTGCAATTTCTTTTGTACTTACTCTAGGCCCTCCCAATGTTTGCTGGATTTCTGCCTCTCAGTTTAAAGCAAGCACAAGAGCATGAGGAAGAAAAAAAGCCCAACACCTTGTTTGTTTGTTTTTTTGAGAATCTTACCGAAAGGACTAAATTTACTATTGAGACATCCTTCAAGAGATCAACTGGTGAAAATTTAACTGTGTCACCCAAAATTTCCTGCTAACTTAGTTGTGTGTGTGTGTGTGTGTGTGTGTGTGTGTGTGTGTGTGTGTGTGTGTGTGTGTGTGTGTCTATACTAGTGCCTTGAGCCACAGTCTTTTTTGCTCAGGTTTGCTGCTTGACCTCTACAGCCAGGCCTTGAGCCCAGCTAGTTGGTGATTTACTGGAGGTGAGTCTCATGACTTTCCCACTTGTGCTGGCTTCAAACGATTATCCTCAGATCTCAGCCTCCTGAGTAGCTAGGATGGCAGGCATGAGCCACCAAAGCCCTGCTTCAGGACAAATTTTGCAAGGGTTGCAGTATACATTGCAAGATTATGATGACTAGTTTGCAATCCTGCCCCAGTGCAAATGAAGTTAGGCACCAACTAATTGGGAAAGAGAAAAAGAGGAAGAAGAGGGAAGAGGAGGATGAGGAAGAGTAAAGAAAGAGGAGGAAGCAAGTAACAGAAACACACCTCTGCTCCCCCTCCAACCCACTTCCCATTCATCTCTAGCCACAAAAATGTGGCTCCAATACTGGCGTTCATGATAAAACTCAAAGAAATTCAAATATGTTGGTCACTCATGCCTGTAATCCCTGAGTAGCTAGTATTACCAGCGTGAGCCTTCCCCATTTCTCTCCTTCTCTCTCTGTTACACACAGAAATTTGAGGAAAACAAAAGGAATAGGCCAGACTCGACCCACAATCTCCATCCCCCAGGCGGGATTGTGCTCCTTGCTTCTCTATCTCAATAAACACTCCTCACCTGTGGAAGATGGAGTCCAGCCTATTCCTTTTCCATTCTCCATTTTTTTCAACAGCCTTCACTTGCTCCCAGGTCCTGAGTGAGGGCCGTTAGCCTGTGAAACAGAAACTTGAGGGCAGGGAAGATGGCTCAGTGGTAGAGTACTTGCCTTGCACGCAGGAGGCCCTTCGATTTCTCAGCACCACATAAGCAGAGAAAGCTGGAAGTGGCGCTGTGGCTCAAATGGTAGAGCACTAGGCTTGAGTGGAAGAGCTGAGGGACAGCGCCCAGACCCAGAGTTCAAGCCCCACCACCGACCAAAAAACCAGAAACTTAAGATCAGGAAAAAGGCTGAGAAGGTGGCAGGACTGGTGGATAGGAATGACACCGGCAAACAGAGAGTGTCTCACAAGAGTCTTAGTTTGTGTAAATCTAAAGCAGTCTATCACAAGGAATCAGCTGCATGTGATAGAGTCAGGAAGGGTCCAGTCTGCTTTTGCCATGGTGGAGGCAGCTACACAGTTGGTCCAGGCAGGATCTGGGATAGAACGTGTCCCTCAGGTGATTGTCACATTTACTGCTGGGTTGCTTACAAATATATACCTAGACTGGTTAAAGACACTTGACAAAACGAATGACATGTTGGTGCTGCATCAGAAAGCATCAATGAAAGGATCCATCACATCCATGCCGGGGGACCATGTAGGCACAGGAGAAAGATTCCTAGAAGGTTTATTAGAGGAGCCATATTTGCCCTGGAGAGAGTGCATGGCAGCCTCTGCTATAGCTAGCAGCAGGGCCTGGGGTAGGAGGTGATGTAGATGGGAGTTCAGGTGGGTCTGGGCAGAGAGCAGGTCTGCATGGAGCTGAGGACCAAAGGTGGACATAATGCTTACAACATCAGTATTTTAATCATAGCTAGCTTGATTACATACCAGTTAATAATTCACAACATACTCATATCATTTGCCACCTATTAGAACCTTCTGGAGTTTCTTTTCCAAGGTTTTCTTTACAAGCTTTTCTCTTTATTTATATACCCTTATCTTCTTTCTGGTGTATGTTAGGTTTTTAAAGAAGAGGCCACTGAGTTAGAACACCACACACCTGGTATTTTCTGTTAAGGGGTAGGTTTATTCATTGTTCTGGCTGGAACCAGGCCAGGTTGGCACTCCATGGGACTGAGAAAGAGGGCATCTGGCTCTGGGCTAAGTCTTATCTAGGTTGGGGAGGTGAAAGGTGTGAGAAAGGCCAGGAAAAGGGAGGTGGACCAGGTAAGGAGGTGGGCCTAGGTGGGAGAAAGCTGTGGCCACATTGGTTTCAGAAGTGACCTCAGTGGATGGGAATGTGACGTCTTCCAGCTGTGCCAGTTGCCTAGGTAATGCAGGTACTAGGCAGGGTCTGCTCACCATCCAGGAGTAGACTTTACAGTGTTCTTGATCTCAGCTGTGTAGGAGCTGAGCTGCATCTCAATCTTTTCACTATTACCTTTGATAAAGATGTTTCCTTTTAACAAACAGCACAATTGGTAATTAAATTCTTTAACACCAAATTTACAATTGCCATCCAGGGACATCCATTTCAGGAAACATCAGTACCAAGAAATAAAAGAAGCCTTTTGACACCATGATAACAGCTTCTATGGATTACACTGAGATTATGTTGAACATGTTCACACACACACACACACACACACACACACACATTTAAACAAAACTTTTTAGGCACACAGGTTTTTAAAACAAAAAAGGAAATTGACCAAAAGTGTTCTGGAATTCCAGTGGCAAAGGGATATCATTTTGCCCAAGATAAAACCACATGGTCAGTGTCAGAAAATAGGCAATAGCATAAAAACACCAGGCAGTTTTGACACACAGAATTGAACAGAATTTCCATGCTAAAACAAACACTTATAACAAGAACAGAAACCCTTTAAACCAGTTTTGGTGATAAGGCACAATAGAATGTGAATTGGATGTTTTAACCCCTAAAAGAGTGAAGAGGAGTAAGCTTGGTGGAAGAGTGGTGGGTTGTAGAAAAACCCATCATGGAGCCTTTGTCTCTTCTAGAGCCTGCAAAGAGAACTGGAGGAGGAGGTGGCTGAACAGATTTGTAAAAGGAAAAGGCAGCACTTTGAACCTAAAGACATTTAAAGGAAGGATGTGGCATAATTCAGGTACTGAAAAGTGAGTGATGGCGCTGGGAAGGTGGCTCAGTGGTAGAGCGCTTGCCTTACATGCATGAGGCCCTGTGTTTGATTCTTCAGCGCCACATAAGCAAAAAGAAAAAAGAGCTGGAAGTGGTGCTGTGGCTCAAGTGGTAGAGCGCTCGCCTTGAGCTGAAGAGTTGAGGGACAGTGCCCAGGCCGAGTTCAGGCCCCACGACCGGACGAAAAAAATGAAAAGTAAGTATTTGAGTATTTGGATAGGGAGTTATTGGAAGAGATGAGAGGAAAGTATTTCTTTTCTGCAGCCTCCTAGAAGAGAAATGAAGAATCCAGATTTTGAAGTGAGTGGACTCAGGAAAGAGAAAAGGATTGGACTAATTAGGTGCCAAAGAGAAAATGGGTATTTTGGGGTGAGAAAGGGAGAGAGCAGTAAAAGGGAGAAACTATGTTTATCAGCCAGCCACTGTCAGTGACAGATGAATGAAAACACCAGAGCAGAGGCCCATGTATTTAGGGTCTGGATGGGAAGA